TTTGCATCTCGCGGCCTCATTCGTAGGCCGACCATTCGGACGAAGCGAATCCTCCAATTGTCTCAAGAGGCCTCTTTGAATCCACTAGTTTGGAACCCCAGAGAAAAGTACAGACATTTAGGTACAAGGCGTTATAATAAGAACCCAGGAACCAAAAGAGTAGTAAAGTGTGGTACTCAGTACTCCAATATTGGGTTTCTTGGTTGGCCTTTAGAGCCCCTTAGGGTTTAGGGTTTAGGGTTCCAGTGTTGTACCCCTAAGGTGGTACCCCTAAAAAAATCCCCAACATGGCCCCAATATAGCCCTTATATAAGCCAATGTAGTCCCCCTGAAACCCTTGACTTGAACAATGTTACGTACAAAGGGTCCTTGTGAGACTCGGCTCCCCATAACCCCCAAATAATGGTACCCTTTTGCCTAATGTTCAGCTGAAATAAGCAGACCCCGATATAAAAAGGGAAAATGGTACTACTGGGGCACCTAGATTATACTAAATCATATACTGTAAGGCCTACTATGCCACTATATAAACCCAGTTACCATTTCATTTTCCATGTGATTCTCCAGTATTGGGGTACCAATCCCTGAGGAATACACATTATTACGGGTCAAGCACATAGAAATCCTGATCCTGAATTTCTTTATGGTATTTAGGGTTTAGACACGCGCATCGCACACTGCAGGCATTTAGGGTTTAGGGTATTAGGGTTTAGGGCTGAGGGTATACCATAGGGTCACATATTTGATGACTGCTTGTTGTTAGCTTGTTGTTAAAATGAGGTCTGAGTAACTGGCAAACGTCCTTCCAGAGGAGGCTTGCGCGTTTTACGTAGCACAAAAACCTCATTATACGGATGCGTTTGTTTTCATGGTGCATCTTCAAACTGATGTTTGAGGTTGGCGTTCAGCTAGGTGTGTCCTACACGAGCAGGTCTGCTGTCGTGGCCACATAACCCCCACCACAGCATTATCTGCACAAACACGCGCGCAGACCAGGGAAAGGCATGCAAACCATGGCCTTCTGCACTTGACACGGTATGATACCCCTGTTACCAGTACGGGTGTCCTTAGGCATCCATGCCTTAACTTTTCGTGTTGGACGTTGACCCAGATTGGGGTCCATCCCTGACGCGTCCCAGAATCAGCGTCCCCTCTGCCCCACTGACATTTGAGAATATGCGACATGATTGTCAGGAGTACCCGAAAAAGCTAACTTTGAACAAGTACATCTTCATCCTAGACATCCTGGTTCCCACTTGCGAATGCGAGAGTCCAGTAGTCCCTTGCAGGAATCGGGTCGATGTCCGTGACTTTGCATTTTGAGAAGGTGAGGCCAGACATAAACCTGATCTGCCATAGTCGCGGACGTTGATCTTGCTGAATGGGCGGCATGCAGGAAGACACAAAGATCTCTAGTTCATGAGTCGCATCCACATGCTGGCAGTCTCACCCTTTTTCTACAAGTGCGGAATAGACATCTGCCAATGCATCCAAAGCGGCTTGTTTAACATCCCCCGGTTCTCCTGCCCACACAGGCATATAGCATGTTGACAAGCAGAAGTAGGTGTGGTAGCAGTGGCAGCAGCAGAAGCAGCAGGAGCACGAGCCAAAGGACGGGGAGAAGCAGGAGCAGGAGTGGGATGAGTTGTGGTAGTTACATTATCAGCAGCAGCTCTATGCAGCGGTGGCGGTAGCGGGTGCTTCAGTTGCAGCTGCTGGCAGCGGTGTGGCGGTGGCTGCGGCGGCTGTGGCAAGGGCGAGGGTTATCGCGGCTGCGGCAGCGATATGGTTATAGTGTAAACTCCTAATATCCTTCTTAATAACCGCATAATCCCCTTTAGTAGTCCCCTATATAATCCCCTATATAACCCCTTTAAGGAGTTTAGACTATAGCTCATATGGTTATCATCATCAGCAGTGCCGGCGACAGTTGTGCTCCAAGTAAAACTGGTTACTGCGGACTGCGTGCGAATTCTGAAGCCACCTGTCCTAAACTTTCTGGTTGTTAGTGAATGGAGAGGCTCCCTGTAGTAGCCTCCTATGAAACCCCTCTACTACGATCGTTTCCATTACCTTGTCGATTCCTCCGTTCCCTACGAACAACCAGCAAGTAAACCCCAAACCATGGATCAACAAGACTTCTGAATGAAGCTTTCTTGGGGTATCCTCCTCATGCATGAGGATGTCGATGATGCCAAAGCTGATGGCAAATAGCTCCGTCTGATTTTCAGGGTTCCTGATGCTGTACGCTGCCCGTACATGATCTTGCCATGATCGCAATAATTTGAGAAGGGGGTTCGCATGAGGCCCTTCGGATGACCTTTTTGCAAGAAGGCACTGTTAAGGGTCCTCACGCGGGATTTCAGGGCATCCTTTCTGAGATTTCACGCTCACTGACCGCAAGCCAATCATCACCCTGCAAACTGCTACTTGACATGTTCTGTATGATGTAAGATATGGCCCCATATAATCCCTGTACTTTCCGTTTTCTTTTCCATCAGTCCTATATATAAATATATTATCCCCAAGTATATATTCTATATTACCCCTTTGCTTGCAGCCTGCCAGAATCCCTTCTTACAATCTCCTTGGGCTCCACTGAGATTACTGCAGAACCCCACTAGTCCTGCATACATCTGGCAGTGGCTGTCCTCCCTCCCACTAGCCATGTAACGATCCGTCCGAATTTGGAGAGCCATCCCGACGGAATTGAGGGAATGGCTCTGCAGTAATGACTGTGTGGCCAAGAAGCTCGCGGAAGGCAAAGGCCCAAGGCTTGTCGATGTTCAGCAGCCCGATATCTGAAGGTGGCAGGCTATGTGCAGCAGGCTGCTTACCCTGGGGCTGCCGTTTGCACGGCTTCTCAAACAGGAAACAAGGCTTCAGCCGAGTCTGACGATAGGAAAGCTTCGATCCATGTGCCCCGCGCTGGGCTGATTCCGGGTAAGATAGCAGTATGTGTCTAGAGGACCCTTGCGTAGCCTTTGTTTTGGTGGTTGAACCTAATAAGACTATAATACTTATACAAAATACTGTACCCCAAAGGAGGATGTAATCTTACTCTATTTTTGGTATCATAGTAACCATATCCCAAATACAATACTACTCCCTTGAGTAGGCTTCCTCCCAAAATCGTGCGGCCGGCGAGCTTGTGTAGCCTTTGAAAAAGGCCACGTGGAGCACGAGTGAGTAATCCATCAAACCTTAGCCCACATTACCCTATAGAAAGAAAAACGGATGCTTTACAAATTTGTTTTTCCAATGCGCGGCTGAGCTCCCGAAGCACGCTGTGCTGTTACAGAAAAGTACTCACTGTACTGAAAAAAAGGTGAGACCTAACTTCTTCTACTGCCAACGTGAACTTGAGAAGGGAAATCACATCAATGGGCACCGCATATCGACGCCAACGAGTTTACCTCCAGCAATTACCAAGAGAGGCCGTAGCCTGAGCGGGTCACCCAAAAGGATGTCTTCTTTGCTGTGCTTGATTTCGAACTTGTAGAAGGTGATCTATGTTGTTTTCCTGGAACGGGGCCCTACCTGGAAACATGATGCTATACGCGTCTCTGTAGCTTTCTGTTATCCAGTCTGCTCTGGGTCGCCCTGGGCGACGCGGTCGAATAGCTCTAGGGCGTAAACTATCAGCTGCCAAACTGACTTGCTTCATAGGGTCCGAGGGGTGTGCTCTTAGGATGTGCCAAATATCTCCATATATATATATATGAGTAATCCCATGCTGCAAAACGTATAAAGGATCACTAACATTAATCCATCAAACCTCCCTTTGTGCGCATGCGCCCAGGCAACGCAGCCAATACTGCACCGGGACCAATACCAGACCTACAGCCTGAATGGAACCCTGGGGCAAAATCGAGGCATCGCCTGCGGTACCCACAAACGGACTACTACTTTGTTAGGGAAGGGTTCTGGCCCCATATCAGGGGTATCCAGGTGGCCCTGACAGTCAGTCAGAAAAACCTTTGACCCCTAATCCGCTCCCCCCCTCTACTAAATACTCCCCATTATGGTATATATAGCATGAAGTAGTTGGAATATTTCATATTAGGGGGAGGGGAATTACCCTTTTTAGGCTTTGGGGTTCCGGCCCTAAACCCTGACACTGACCTGGTAGTTTCCCAAAAGAGGGGGACCCCAATGAAGACCTCAAAATACTATAATCCTTCTATTGGGGACCGCCAAAATGGTACCCCTAATCTTGGGAAACCCTAAACATCCCTAAACCATAAACCCTAAATCCCTAAACCCTATGTATTTGGATGTATCCCCTATAACCTCTTTAAAGGTGCATACATCGCTAAACTCAGGCATAGGCCAAGACCTGCCAGCAGCTTTGAGTCGTCATGGAGTGTCCTGTAGCCGCTGTAGATTTGTATAATCGAAAAGAGAATGGAAACTATGGGGATTATTCTAGCGCATATATTGGGGTAATGTTAGGGCTATCTTGGGGTTACATTGGGCTATTTGGAACCCAAAGAGATTCTTCTTTTACAAAACACCTTCCATTCTATATAGGTCATTCTTTTTTGCTAAAGGGTTCCCCATTTTATGCCCTGCCCAAGCCTCAAAAAGGATCCCGACACGCGAAAATACCATTCTGGAGTGGTTTCACATCAGCTAGATTGCCCTGACCAAAGTGAGATGTTGATCTCCTAGGGGCACTTTTTGGGGGGGGAGTCATCATCAGAACATGCATCGCGTACGTGATGCTGCCCAGACATTGTGCATCGGGCATTGGCCACTTAGCTCCCAGCTGGGCCACAAGATCCTGAGCTTTTGATCCTGCCAGAGCTGCTTGACATATCTGGACGATGTATGGAAATTATGTCAATTCAGGTTTTGCTGAGCTTACATTCCATCGCTTGGGCCTTCACACTGTTCTTTCTACTACCTACCCAATTTGAAGCTACAAAGGGTCAGAGATCTGAGAACATCCTGGATGTGTGCTTGTCACTGGGGGCCAGTTTGCATTGAGGCCAGTCCTGTGTAAACCTCACCATCATCTTGGCCGCCTGGAAGCATCACCTACGGCAGGCACATGCGCAAAACAGACAGTCAAAATGCAGTGCGGCTGGATCTTGCAGGACTGGCATTTCTGAGGGCAGTTCACTTGCATTCGCTTAAGGGCTTGTGCCTTTAGACTGAAACTCTGGGATCATCTGGTGCAAAGAACCTGTGGCAGCTATCCGGTACAGCGTGAGCTCGCCTCCTTTTTCCAAATGCATGAAAGTTCAAGCCAAGCAACCTGGTCAACGATCAGGCCCGTCTGGAAGTACTTCCTGAAATTGAAATCCTTCCAGACCTGTTGGGTTAGCAGTGCGCAGCTAGGAAAGACAGTCTCAGATCCGAATGCCTAGATCCCTGCTTGATACAAGCAGACTGAACGTATACCGGCCCGTGTCAAGAGGTTTCAATGAGCATGCTGCGGGCTGCAGGAGAAACATATGGACAGGACCCTGGCCAGGCACACCTTATGATCCCTGGGCTACGGAAATTGCGAAGCCGCAAGCCCTGCTCCTACATGCTCCTACGGCGCCTGGTCACGTTCTTCGGCCTTGCGATGGGAGTAGAGCCAATTGCCCTTCAAGTCGAAAAGCCTCCTCCATGGCTCATCCTCAACGCCTCAGGCATGATGGCCCGGCTGCTCAAGGCCGATTTAAGCATACAGCCGTCTAGTGACCAGGCCGTAGTTTGTACCAGGGCATCCCATGAGCGGGACTTCCAGCATGTGAGAGCTGCTTCATGGATGGCCCTCGCCAGCCCGCACACATTCACGTGCAAAGACCATAGTTACTTCAGAGCATGGGTGTGCATCGGGATGATTCCTGCCTTGGGCCTCACTAATTCCGCTTCATGTGGGTTGACAGCCAAGGCTCCCTTGAGCATCATGTTCAGCGCGACCTGGACGTAGTGCAGCTGGCCACCGACCTCGCTGCTTTTTTGACTCGACGCTGCGGGAGTAGCGGCTTCCGAACATCTCATGATGCGGAGAGCCTACAAACTGAAAGCTTCTAGAGAACACTATAGAAGCTTCAGCTTGATGTTCATCAATGCTCATCCGCACTCCAGAAGGCATCTAGGCAAAGAAATGCTCATACATACCCTATGGCAGCATTCCCCGTCACAACGCCCGCTGACCCTTTGTTTTGAAGCTTCTTCGCTAAAGAGAGTCTTGCGGCTGCTTGCTTTTGAGGAGCTCTGAAAATCAAGCTGCGGCATGTCGGCACGATGAATGTCGTGCGCCTGGAGCGCCCACACCCCAGCACTCACTCCTCTCGAGTTCTAAAGTCCCCTACGACCCTGCCAGCAATGAGAACGTTCTCAATTAATTTTCCAAGAACTGCCTTCAACTGAAACTTTAACGTGGGGAATTTCGAGCTCTAATATGGTAGTTTCCCTAAATAGGTTTTTAGGAAACTCCCACATCGCCGAGAGGGTGAGCTCTCCGATCTCATGACAGGGCAAGCTCTCGATGATGCTTCTACGACTGGCCGAGCGATTGCTTTTGGGGAGCAATTTGGGGGTTTCCCAAAATTGGGGGTACCTTTCCCTATAGTAAAGATTATTGTATTTTGGGGTCTGTATTCGGGTCCTCCTACTTCTACGGTTTAGTGTCAAAAGAAGTGATGTGCGCCAACTGAGCACGCGATGTTTCTCGTCAAACGTTTCAGGGCACAGGAAGGGCAGGGGGCGTTCTTTTACAACAGTGTCGGCGCTGTCCGCCCATCATGGTCCACAATGCACGCCCAAGCTTGCGCATGCGGCGCACTATGAACAACATTCGTAGGGTTGGGGAGCCTGCCAACACTGAGTGAGGTTGAAATCACGCTTAAGATGCCAAATAGTAGCTTCCATTTTCTTTTCCATTATCCCTCTATATCCCTAAAAGGTCCTGTAAACCCTAAACCCAGAAGCCCAGAAACTATGGCCTCGATCCTCGGAGCCTTTGCAGGACGCGCTTAAGCTGCTTGTGCTCGGTCCTTAGGATTTAGGATTCAGGCCTGATGCAGTTTCGCTGGGGTTTTGGTTGACAAGAGGATTTCAAGGTATCATGGGATGAACATCTACACACTCTTCTGCCCTCCGCAGTCATCATGAAAATTGCCTACAGCGTTTTTTTTTTTGAGGGCAAGGGTTGAGGGTTTGAGGATTTTAGCGTTGAGCACGAGATAACTGCGCACTCCCAAACAACCGAGATGCTTGTCGATGAGTTTCACGACCTCGGTCATTCAAACCCAGACTGAATCATCACAAGGGCTGTTCTGACAGTGGACGGGTATCTCTCTGACACCCACCCTACGTAATGTACAATGTATGATGAGGATCTCCTGAGAACCATGACAACTCCTAGCAACTACTTTCAGGGTCAGGGGGACTTAGTAAGTAGGTTAATAACTCCTATAACCCATATAGTAACCCAATTATCCCCATTATTAACCTACTTACTAAGTCCCCTGACCCTCCAAGTACTGTACCCCGGTTCTCTTGAGAAGCCCCAAACCAGTCTTGATTGCGCGGAGTTCTCGCCGAGCACAAAGAATTTCCAACTACCATTGCCAAAGTTGCTCTGCAACCAAATATAAACCATCTATAGTCCCCTTAAGTAGATAGAATATGGGGTATATGGGACCTTATTATAATATACCCAAAGCCATATTCTATCTACTTAAGGGGGACTATATCCTGCGAAATAGGAACTGAAACACTACGTTAGGCCTTATGATGCCATACAAAGCTACGACATAATTCAACCTGAGGTATGCTTCATTGCCCTGTTCTGATTACTCAGGCTCTGCTCTTGCTGCCTCACGCCTCATTGATGCAGTCGTCGACTGAAGCTGCAAGCAAAAGCAGCAACACGGCTTTTGAAGATAAAGGAACCTATGGCGTTACAAAGAACCTGGCGGAAACTACAATGCATTTCAGCATGGGTCCTCTCCCCACTCATGCTGCAACAGCACTCGCACATTGGCAAGCTTTATGCTTGCAGCTGCAACAGGCTTGGTGATAACCGAGTCACAGCAATGTCTTAGCTGGTTGGGTGCTTGATGTCGTTCTTCCCCTCCTCAATTAGACTGACTTGGCTTGCCCGCGCAAGCCTGAAATTGAGATCGGATGGAGATTGGAGCAGGAAGGGGTTTCACAAGGAAGCATCAACAACACCAGACCCTAAACCCTCAACCCAATATAGACCTATATAACTAACCACAGCAGAAGGCAACCCTATCATCCCCTAAAGCCATGCGGCTACTAGGCAAAGCCCAGCTACAAAGTTCTCCGAAATCAGCGGCTTTGTTCCACTTTTCCTGGGCTGCAGGAGAAGACTCAAATCTCAGGTTGTCAAATGTTTTGTTTGTTTTGACTTCGGGGTACGGGGACTTCAGACAGATCATGGGGCTTTGCCCTGAGGCTATATGCATATGTATATATATATATATCTATCTACTTATTCTTATTACACCATATATGTATGTACATATATTTCGAGGCCTGGCTTCCCTCCCCCCGCCACAGATGATCCAGTAGCAAAGTCTTTGGCGATAGTTGACCTGAGCATGTTCAGCAGGTACTTGGCTTCAGCGCTCAGGGTTTGGTTTATAGTGATGTTTGGTTTATAGTGATGTGGGGTTTAGGGTTTAGGGTTTGGCTCAAAGGTTTAGAGTTTAGGATTCAGAGTTGAAGGTGCATCTAGGGTTTACGGTTCGTGGAGTGTGGGGGGATCCCCATAAGCCTGCTGCTGCTCGGTAGTCATAGTAGGCTATGGCAAGGTTCATGACTACCTGCTAGGCAACTGAGGGATTGAGGTTGTCAAGAGTTTTGGGCATGGGCTTAGGATTAAATTGTGGTTTGGGGGGTTCATAAAAATCTGGCTACCATTTTGGGGGTCCATACATGACAATGGCTATTTTGGGGTCTAAAATGGTCTTAAGCTGCGGTCACCCTATTTAGGGAAACTACCATTTCACTGCGAGCTGGGATCTGTGCAGCTGACCGAGTCGTGAATCGAAGCTTACAGTTGCGGAGGCCAGCATGTTGCAATCTAGGTAGGCATAAGGTAGTTTCCCGAAAAAAGTGCCTCTTTCGGGGTCCCTCTGCAGTAACAAGGATCAACATATTTTGCGGTCTATATTGGGGCTGCAAGAAAACCCCTAAACCCTAGAATTCTACGTTGTCAATTGAGTCAATCAGATCTAGCCACCGAGTCGGCTTGTTGCTATTCATCCGAACATAGCAGCAATAACGACACTAAGACTATATTGGGACTATCTAGGGTATAGGTTGGGACTATGTAGTAGCAATGGAAAAGAAAATGGAAACTACTGTCTAGGATTTTTTGAGCGGCTGCACCCACACTGACAACAAAGGGTAGGGCCATGACCCAACGAGCCACAACTGGCGTTTAAAAGAACATGGGGCGAAGGAGTAGAATAGCAACATATTAAGAGGCATCATAAGGACAGGGACGTGAGTAGGGCCAACAAACACAAACGATGAGAAACATATTTACAAGACCTCATGACAATGACACAGCTACAGCTACTGTCCTTTTCTTAGTCTAAACGATCGCAATAGTATATACTTAGCAGTGCACGTGCTAGAAGCCGGCCTAGTAATGGAAGCAAGGCTACCTGACCACAATCCCGTTGCTCCAAATCCAACACCACAACATCACTCCTCAAGTGAAAGCCATCATCATCCTCATCATCATCATCATCATCGACATCTTCATGATTCATGTTCACTACCATCGTCAGAACCATCGCCATAGAGTCGAAGACACAAGGATAGCGGACAGCCACGGCTGCCCCAGGTGCCAAAACGAGGGCCAAAGTCCTCCCGGCATTTCCAGGCATGTTTCGAACTTCGAATTTAGTGCGCTGGGATTGGGATTTGATGGTGTGGCTTTTAAAGCCTCAGGGACTTTGGGCTGCCCTGTGCAACCTTAGATTCGGCGTGCCCATGAGCCAGCTTAACTTGCAGAACATGCAGTAATAGTGAGAGTATTATACTCATTACCATAGCTAATACTATCATTGTTCCTGTTATCAGTACTTGTATTACTACTGTGCAACAGTTTCCAAAGTGCAAGGAAGGCTGGTAGAGTCCATGCGCTGCTCGTTATCAAGCAAAGGGGTGTGGGCTCACAGTATGCAGGCCATGGACTTGTTTGCAATCGTACTCCTGCGTTGCCAGTAGAAGTAGGTTATATTTGGGTCATATTGGGAAAATGGAAAAGAAAATGGAAACCATAGGGAGTATAGGGTTATGTTGTATTTTATTTGGGGATAATATGGTACCCAATAATATAGGGTTTAGGCTGTTGCTCTAAGCATAAGCAGCGTTTCGAACATCACAGAGATAATTCTTTATCCAGCGGTTCCCATGTGTTATACTGGTGACTATGCTGGAGATTCTCCCTGGGCAGCGTATGGGTAAGAGTTTTTTTTTTTCTTCCTTTTTTTCGCTGCTCTGCATGTTTTGTTTGTTTGGCGTGCGTTTTCTGTTTTTTGTTCTGTGTTGACTGTCAAATTTTCCCTGGGAAGCAAACGAAGGCACGCGGAGCAAACAAACAAACGCACCCTAGTTTTTGTTTTTGCTCAGCCTGCTGTGCCCTCAGTCCTTATAGGGTATTACAAATCTTGGAAACTGATGATTTTCTCGAAAAAATCTAGACTGCAACAAAATGCCCTAGGCTAGGCATGTTTTTTTGCTCTGCGTGCGCGGTCTGTTTTTTCCAAACCTCTGCCTGCAGCCCTTTAGTGAATTTCCGACTTTCGAAAAATTTGATGACTTTCTCGCAGATATAAATCTTCCTTGGAAAGCCACGCAGAGTCTGAGAAGGAACAACACATGCAAAAAAACACGTTTTGTTTTTTGCTCGGCATGCGCTCACGCCCGCGCTTATTTATTCATTTGCTCCTGGGTCTTCGGAAAAGCGCGCAGAACAATAAACAGAAAATAACAACATGCGCAACAAAAAAAAACATGCCGAGCAAAAAAAACACGCGTTCCGGCAGCGTGTGTTGATGCAGATCTGACTTGCGATTCTGACGTGCAGCCGGCTGATGAGTTGGCAGCTGCCAAGTGCAGTGTCCGGAAAGGAGGCCACGGTGTCTTAGAGTAAGAGACCGCAACAGGTAAGCCACTCAGGAGGATCCCAAATCCAAAACCTGCAACCTCACCTGCGGATTGCTTTCCACATCAAACGCGGTTTAGGCTTTAGGGCTGCGCGGCCCTTTGAAATGGGCTCTATAGGGGTTCCTGTCATGTCTATAACCGCCCCTTATCTAGGGGGGGGGTGGGCTCGAAATAGGAGAATTTCCGTGGGGGTGGGGGTGGGGGGGGAGTGGGTAGACTGCGCTTGCGCTGCTTCCGCTGCCCTTGCCTCCCACTATTTTCAGTGGGAGGCTCGGGCTCCTTCCACCTTCCTTGCCCTTGCCTCCCACTATCTCCATTGAAAGGCTCAGGCTGCTTCCGCCTTCCGCATCCTTCCGTAGCCCTTGCCTCCCACTATCTCCAGTGGGAGGCTCGGGTTCCTTCCGCTTGACAAACCTGAAAAGCCTGAGCGCGGTGCCTGGCAGATCCTGACAGAATTCTACTTTAAAATCTGTTCTATCATTTTCCTCCTATTTTTTCCTGGATTTCCTCTTATTTCCAACCACTTCCCCCCCCCAGAAATAGGAGGAGGAAGCATATTCCCATTACGACTCCCCCCCCTCATATCCTCACGTAGGGGGTGGCTATCATGTCTGGAGAAAGGGCAGAAAGCCCGGAACACTTGAATGAGAAACGCAGCCTTCTTTCACCACTGGACTGAGGCATCCAGACGCCGATAATTCCACACAAAAACCTTTCTTCTCACCGCAGCAGCGACTTTGGCCAAAAGCTGATTTCCAACCAAAATATGACATAATGCTCGAATATATGCCCCACAAATATACTTACCGTAATTGCGCTCGACTGCAAAAACAATCACAATTGTCCTGCCGTGCATGAAACCAAAATCTGACATCAGATGTGAACATTAAAGGCTGGAACTTCAAATGTTCAAGCTGTCAGGGCATAATCGCCCACCGCTGAGCCCCATACCCCAAACCAACAAAACCAAGCACTATCAACTGCGAACCCCACCAGCCTACAACCTCAAGAAAATCTCAGAATTCTGAAGCCTTAACAGCTAAAAACCACCTGAAGCTCTGAAGGCCAAACAATCTGAAGCCCTAAAAGCTGAAAAGTCCTAAGCCCTCAAAGCTAAACAGGTCTGAAGCCCTACATAATCCCAATGTACTATAGTAGCTTCCATTTTCTTTTCCATTATTCCTATATAACCCAATATACACTAAATCTCAGAATCTCAAACCCTAAATCCCTAAACCCTAAATCCCTAAACCCCATTATCCCTATATCCCCAAGAACCCAAGGCCTTACAACCGTTGGCTGGCGATCTCGAGGCTTCGGTTAGCCAGTGCTTCACATCCATAGACCCATTCACGTCGAAGGTACAGGCCTTTCCAGAACGGCGGATATGAAAAAAGACTATCATCTATATACTCGATCATGCGTATATATTTATAGATATCATGCTATATCACATATGTATATATATATATATACGCACATTCAACCTATACACATGTGTGTATATATATATATCTATATGTATGATTCTATACATTTCTATACTGAAGGTTTCCGGCTGGGGGCAGGCATGGTGCGGCGCTCTGAACATGGATTTAGGGTGCGGGGTTTTGGGAAGATTTGGATTTTGGGTTGGAGTGTTTAAGGTTGTCCTCCTAGGATTGTGGTTGATATGCACTTCCACCACATTCCTCCTACGCCATTGGTTCAGCTCCGCCAGAAAGCCTTTAACACTTGCCTGGGCCCCCCCCCCCCTGACGCGCGTGGCCGTCTTTCTCCAAAAATAGGGGACCTGCGCAGAAGCCGCGGTGCACCTGCGGGGGATCCACGTGGTTGTGTCCCTCCAAGAAAGGACGGCATGCGCACCTCCGCGGCCTTGACAGACCGTAGCGGATCTTTGCAGGCAAGTACAAAGGCCGGGCGACCCGAAGGGCGCGGGCAAGTGTTGGAGCACAAGTCAAAGCAGGCCGACGCAGGTCGCGCGCTTGGAGATTACCAGCCAGGGTCTAATAAGGTCTCACTAATCCAGCAAGGAATTCTGCGCGCACAAGATAGCACGAGGTCGTGCGAGACTGCATGCAAGAGGTGTTTATGTAGCACGAAAGCGCACGATAGAGAGCAGATTAGTCCAGACCACATAGTCACATAGCTGTTCAATTTTTGTCGATAGATTCACTCGCATACTGGATATGAAGCAAGGACGCTTTTGCCTCATCATCCTGGTCCTGGTCAAGAGCATCCTGAGCTGATATGCAAGTTCCTGTGTCACAAGGGCGGATTTCTGCAGTCAGCCCACCGGTGGTCCAACCTTCAATCCGTAACCTCAAGTATGCAAATAACCTGGTGATGGCAATGCTCAGAGCGAGAGCCGCTGCGCTACCCAATGGACTCCCAGAAAGTCTCTGAGATGGCATAACAACAATGGCCATAAGAGTCATAGTCTAGACTGCTTGTATCCCCTTAATAACCCCTATAATACTCCCTTATATAGTCCCCTTTAAGGAGTTCACACTGTAGCTCGTAAGAAGGGCACAGCGAGGATAGTAGCAGTAATTTAGACAATTGTGGTGCTTGCAGTTGTAGTGGCCATAGCTGTGGTAGCGGCAGTGGTTGTAGTGCTATTAGACGCAGCAGAAGTCATTCATCATTCCACTCGCCCTTCATGGTCAGCAATAGAAATCACTTCGTGCCCCAACAGCCGCGACTGCAGGTCAAACAATGTGGCGACGAGGGTCGGGGAAGGCCGCATCCTCCTGACCAGCATGGAGCTTTTGCAAAAGCAACACGATAGATGCCGAAACTTTCTTGGGGCCACTATGCCTACGCCTACGCGTGCTACGCTGGATGGGAGAAAGAAATCATCGTCCACCACCTAAGACCCCCGAAATGCTGTAATTCCTCGGGTGCAGGTTTATATTGGGATAATGGAAAATCAAATGGGAACCACTATAGATTACCCCAATAATGGAGAATCAAATGGAAAAGAACATGGAACATGAAATGGAAACTTCGATTATACGGGTAGATTTCCTCTTTTTGCCAGGCAAAGGCTTGGACTTGTCCAAGGCAGGTCTAACCGGCCTTCCCTGAATCAAGGTAGCCATTGATCTCGTCCAGGTAATCATCAAGGTCCTGACTCAGGGAGTTTTTTTTGTTTTGCGGTAAGATGCTATATACTAGTTTCCATGTTCTTTTCCATTATCCCTATGTAACCGAAATAGCTTATATACTAGTTTCCATTTTTTTTTCCATTCTCATGGCTGAAACTTTTGGGCCACCAACGGTCACCCGTCTTCTCACCAGCTGCTACTGCTGTGCTCCACGACCCGAACTATCTTCGCAAGGCCTTCGCCGACATGTGCTCGTCCTGGACGGGGGTGGCTTGCAGCTGAATCAGATCATGAACAAGTTTGAAGGGGAATCATCTTGCTCTGCACCCTGCTCCACCTGTCCAGCAAGTCGTGCTGTAAGGGAAACAACTTTAGTAGGTGGTATCTGCCTGTGGAATCTTCACCGCATACTCCCGTTGCGCTGCTCGACGGGCAGAGCCCGCAAACATAATACTATCAACGCTGGCAACTCAGAAAGAAGGCGACAACATGGCGATAACACTGCGTAGGATAGCGACATGATGCTAGAAATCGTAAGGGTGAGGACAATGATAACGAGAACGAGAGGACTTGTGACGTAAGACGAGCCCTGCGCGTCTGCAAACTGTCGATCCTATGGTAATGGCAGCAGTAGCGGTAGCAGAGCAGTAGCAGCGGCTGTAGCCATTGGTGGTGATGCTGGTGGTGGCAGCGGCGGTGGCGGGGTGGCTCTTGGCATAGCGGTAGTGGTGATGGCGGCCTAGCAGTAGCAGCACCAGCAGCAGGAGTAGCAGTGCTAGTAGCCAGAAGCAGCAGCAGAAGATGTCCTTGCGGCAGCAGGAGCACAACATTGGTGGCAGTGGCTAACACTTGTTCGTTCATGGTTCGTGACAGCTCGACACTGCTAGAGGTCAGTAGTCCTCGCCCGCCGCTGCTGCTGCTGCTGCTGCTGTTGTCACTGCCCCTAAACCCTGAACCCTAAACCCAAACCCATGGCAGGTACTGTGGCGTTCATCCGGTCGGTAGCAGTCGTCGGTTACGTAATTAGCAAGGATGTTGCGGAATCGTATGCCATGGTACGAGCAAGCGTCCGAATGCTAGTTGTCTGTGGTAGTGATAGTGTTGCCGTGTTGCTGTCAATGCTGTTGGCATCCTGATTGTCATGCCCCGGATTGTTGTGTTCAAAGTTGAGGCAAGTGGCAATGCCCAGTTTCCTGAGTCGAATGTCGACATATACGCCACGGGCGGAGGGAAGTCAATACGTGCAAGGAAGAGTAGCAAAGAAAAATCGCCTCAGGTACCAAATTCAATGATAGTGCTGACGTCAGCGACGATCTCTATTGGCCATATTACCCCCATTTTACCCCTAAAGCACCCCTATAAAAAATCCCGATAACCATATATAGTCTATGAGTGATGATCTCTATTGGGCACAACTGCGCCACAACCAGCACGACGGCTCCTCATCCTCATCCTGCCGGGGCATAAATTTTGGCATCAAGGTTATGATATAAGGATAATGGAAAATGGAAGCCACTATATCATAATTGAGTATAAATAAGGGTCAGCACAAGCACAGTCCACATGACATCTGAAAAGAAGTCGAAACATAGAAGTGTATGCTGACAATCATGCCTGAATTAAACTCTGATGAACGCTTCATGCTTTCACAGACGTGTGAAAATGGGTCCACCTGGACTGCTTACGCTGAGTATGCCGTAAATTACTATCAGCACATACAACTGATGGTTTCCCAAGACACGCCCCCCTTCCCTAATACAGACCCCAATATACTATGATCCCTCTTATGGGGACTTCCCAAAATTCACCCCCAATTCTAAGAAAGCCCAGGCTAATGTCAAACCTGCTCAGCAAGCGTCTCATCCACCAGCTTGTCAAGCTCCTGTTAGCAAAGCTTAGCGGCTTTGCCATGCATCCGCTCGAGACGTTAACGGGCGATCAGCCTCGAGTTACTGGGAGGAATGAATCTTGGCGCTTGTGCGTAATGTTGCGGGGAACAATTTCAGGAGTCCACCGCGATTTCCCACTCCGCCCAGATAATGCGAGTTTCATTCATTCGGCTCCTTTCGAATGCTTACTGACCAATTGCTGTCAGGTGCTGTCTATGCTGTAGGGGATATGGGAGGAAAGAGAGAGAGAGAGAGACATCATGGAGGAAACGCATAGTGACCAAATCCAGATTGCTGCTGCATGTCAGAACAACGGAGGGACCTGGATCTTGAGGCTGGGGCAAGCTATACGGAGCGCAAGCCCAACATGCGCTACAGTAACAACTCCTAATATCCCCCTTAATAACCCCTATAGAAGTCCCCCATATAATCCCTTATAAAACCGTTCTAAGAAACTACGGCTCACATGCCACGTGAAAATTTGGGGCCCAAGCCAACTGCTCGAACTCAAGCTGTGGGATCCCTGAGTCTGAACTCCTTAGGCCAAAGCCCTGTTTACTGGGTTTAAGGGTTTAGGGTTTAGGGGTTTAGGGTTTAGGGGTTTAGGGTTTAGGACTGGAAGTTTTTGTACCAGAAATACTATCAATACTATGAGTGCTATTAATACTATTAGTCTTCCTTATATTGTTAGTATGATTATACTGCTAGCCTTGTGAGTATTATTGTTACATTCGAGGCCAAGGCAATCAATGCTTGACCCTACTGGGGTCCTCCGCAGTCAGGCCGCCACCAAAGTGTAAGTTCTGCGCAGGGCTTTTTCTGCACATGTGAGGGACGGTCAGTCAGAAGCGACCTTTAGGGAAAAGAATGGAGAGAAATACATCTAGGGCTGCTGCCGCATGTTTGCATGATCTCAGACCCTCGCAATATCTTGGGGATTACGGAGGGATCCACTTGGTTCCTTTCAAGGAGTACATGCAAGTTTCTGTGAGAAATGCCTGCATTGCATGCTTCGACCCGAGCTGGCCTCGTCGTCATTGACTGGCGGGGCCTCCGGGCGACCCTTTCCACCCAGAGATATGGGGTCACAAAACAGGGTCCCCAGACAGGATTGTAGGGTTCCCACTTGCGGAGTATGTGAGACCGCCCTGGACAGTTCTCAGTTCTCAGAAGCTCGCAGATGAAAACCAGGACAATAGCAACGATGATAGTGAGAGTACAAGGCTGTCGTCATAAACAATCTAGCTGGAATCTAAAGGCGGAACTGATGCTAAGCATGTGTCTCAGGTGTCAATGCAAGACCGGATGTGAAGGCTGGGGAGGAGACCTTTTTTCTGTTAGCCATCTCTTCCAGCACATCGTCCACCATCTTGTCAAGCTCCTTCTCCAAACGAACACAGAGCTAGAAACCAAACAGGATCTGCGTACCCTCACCTGCCACAGCTACTGACCCTAAACCCCGAAATCCTAACTGTCATGATGTCGCGGCTGATCCATGTCCCTCAGCCCCAAGCAGAATGTGGTAGTCTTGCAACAGAAGCAGCTCCAATATGGACCCCAGGCTATTATAATCCTTACGATAGCGACTCCCAAAAAAAGGGGCTCCTGATTTTGGGAGACCTCCACATGCACGAAAAGAGCATGTCACGGACCGACACAAGCAAATGCCTTCCTTATTGGTTCTTAGCAGGAATAAGGGAGCATAATCCCTACATAATCCCTATAAAATATATTCCTTTATTCCCTACTAAGAACCAGTAAGCTTCTGCCTACTTTGGTGCAGGGTTTCAAGGTGTAGGGTGCTTCAAGCATTCAAGGCTTGCAAGCTCTATGCGTCCTCCGGGTCCCAATCCTGGTCTTCCTGCCAGATGCGGGTTGAAACCCTACGCTAAACCCTAAACCCTGTGGAACTCTTTGGTGAAGAAACTCCCAGGTGCCACATTACGGACGGGATGGACATCATGATGTATCTTGCGCCTGTTGCATGTCTCGTTGTCCGCGTATGTCTCTTAACCCAGAATCCTCCGATCCGTTTGTAACAAGTCAGGGGACCCATGACCTCAAGACACCCTCTGTTCGTCAACATGGCCTTCCAATAGGGAGGAGTTGGACCTACGGACTTTCTGGCACGGTATCGACCCAAGTTGCTAGAACAATGCGTACTCGGCAACTTTCAAGTATGCTAAGCCTTATAAAGCTGGAGTGAATGGCTTAAGTTGATACAGCGCGCGGTTGAACCCCCTAAACCCTAAACCCTAAAACCCTTCAGAATCCTACCCCTCCTAGGGGGTCAATGCAAAAACAAAAGTCCCACCTTCGAGAGTCCGTGAATCCTTCCACACACTTCCTCGCTCACAGCATGCATTACTTCTTTGGAGCCAAGCGCCGGCCCATCCCTGGTCCGCTCGTGAACCTAGAAACCTAAAGTAGGTTACCATACTGTGTGTTTATATAAACAAATAAGGTTTTGTATAATATATATATACGCAGTATATGGGGTATATAGGGGGAGCTGTCTTGGCAGTTGGCAGCAAGCCCGGCCGATCATGACCCTGATCTGGCCTCATCTTCAAACGCATCATTGGACTTGTTCACCAGATGCTCCTCTTTCCAACACGTGGGCAAGTTTGGTAGTTTCCCAAAATAGGGGGCCCCACTATAGACCCCAATATACGAGAGTCCTTATTATGGGGACCCCCAAGATGGTACCCCTGATTTTGGGAAATCCCCATTTGCGACATCATGAGAACTGTTGAGGCCTCATAGCGTATACTTGTGACCAGCACCAAGAGCGCCAGAGCCAAGACGCGCATGAGGACAGTCATTCTTGTGAGACAGGAGAGGGTGGAGCAAAGGATTCCAAATGTGTGGAACCTTAGCAATGTGTGACGGCAGGTCCGGGTGCTTCACCACAAATGCAGGTTTGCAAACAACTACTTGCTTGAGCCAACGAAGAAACGTCCAGTTCACAAGTATCCCTGCAGCCTGCTCGGGCAATGCCATCAGAGGCATCCAAAAGAACAAGACCAATGCCCTCCTAGCACGAAGCCGAGCAAATCACAGGTGATCCGAATCCGCAGCATGTTCCACCCAGGGGTAGCCAGGGATTCTGGGCAGGTACGAGGCATTTGGCCAAGAATGCTCAAAAGTCTTTGCGGGGAAATGCACCTGAAGCCGCAGCATTTTCGACCCTTCAACTCGGAACCTTCAACCCAAAGGCCATAAGTCGTCTTATGATGTTGGCTCTGCCGGTATGCTGTATGGCTTGGCATTTTGTCAAGGTCCCGAAGGCCCCGTGCCAAACAACAAACACGCGGTATTAGCAGAGGCCACAGTTCAAGTTTTGCATGGATCCCTCAGTCACGAGTCTGAAGGACGGCGCCAGGCGTGCGTACATATAATATAACAGGAAATATGCGAAACAACCCCGACACATGACATGAATTCAGATGATGATCAACAGTATCGGGGGAACGGTGGCGTGCTTCTCCTTGCCTTTGGCTAGCTAGGAATGAAGGAATAGATCCTTAGGGTAACTCCTATATAACCCATTATAGTAGTTTCCATTTTCTTTCCATTCCTTCATTCCCAGCTAACCACAGGCCAGTAAACCCAAACCCTCATGACCTAAATAGTAGCTTCCATTTTCTTTTCCAGTAATCCTATAACCCTACGACCCCTGCAAAGCCCTTATATAACCAGTCCCTTGGCAGCCAACTTCAGGGAGCGCATGCTCCGTGGGCTCTCTGGGATCTGCGATGCCTGCTGGCCAGGTCGATCACACAACAAAAGCTGAGGGATAATGTAATGTGGGGGACCCAGGGCTATGGTAGTTTCCCAAAATAGGGGGGGACCCCATATAGCCCCCCAAATGCGTTAAAAAACATATTGCTTATTATCGGGACCCCCAAAACAGTACCCCTAGTTTTGGGAACCTCCATATACAAGGTCATGAAGAAAATTACGAATTTCTTATAATCTTAGAGCCAGGAGTCCCTTCGCCGAAAGATCTATGCGCTGTATCAGGATCAATTAGTCAAGGGATACGCGCTTTAGATGAAGAAATGAAAGGATTGTACGAGGCTTCGGATATCTATAAGCAATGGCAAGAAGATATGGCCAGCGTACTGCTTGAAATATGCGCAACTGGAATAACAAAAGTGTCGTGGGACTAGCATCCTCGTAGTGAATGTTCCCACATGTACTACACCCTCAACATCTCCAGGTGCTCTCCTTTGAAACTCAACAACAATTAAAGAGAATGGGATGGAATGGAGGAAATCTTGCACCACGCGGGCCTGGAGACTGCAGCCCGGCAAGGAGGTGCCTAGCACATGGATGAAGAAAGGCTAAGGGTTTTGATGGTTTCTGAGATTGATGCAACCCCCTGAAGGGGTATAAACGTTACATGGGGATATATAATCCGGGCGCGGCTGACCCCCCGCGCCCCTCTCCCCCAAGGGTTCCCCTCCATACTGCAGCGGTTTCCGGTTCGGAGTCTTAAGAACAATTGAAAATTCCCCCTCACCCAGTGGTGTGGTTGGGGATTTCGGGGTAGGAACATCGGCCCCATGGTTGGTGGCCACATTCTAGACCTTAAGTTTGAATTAAACTAATTAAACTGTAACTCCCCACGTCCCCTGTGGTTCTGTGGCCTCTGATCTGGGAACACTGTAGACGGCTACTTACAACCCATTACCCCTCCCCACCCCTGTGGTCCTATGGCCGGTGGTCTGGTTCTTGGTTTGGATTGGATTTATAAACGGTTCATGATGTACATGGAGGCTTTGCAACAGTTTATAGAACATTCCAAAGGGTTTTGAGAGGGTTATGGCTTCGTAGAATGTTTTCATAAGAGGACCACCGCCATCCCTGCGAGTATGAGTACGCTTAACATGCGACAACAATATGAGTTTTCAGTACGCTTAACATGAGACAAGGACATCAGTATTCAAAACCGACGACAGTTGCAAGGATTGCGATGAGGACCACCCCGGTCCATGTGACTGTTTGTAGTTTTGAAACATGACGAAAGCATGAACAACTGAAAGGGGGCCCAGGGGGTGGGGGCCTACCAGGGGGGCGGCTGGCGAACCGAGAGCGGGTATCACATATATATATATATATGTATATACATATCGCGTATGGGGCTGTACAAAGGGGTCCCTTTTCGATGCTGCTATAATGAGACTCATGGCATACTATATCGGGCCATACATTGCGGGCCCTCATTTCTGGAAAGGCCCATCTCAAAAGGAGATGTACATGGAGCCGTGTGGCATGGAAGTAGCAAGAGGGCTACTGGCGATGTGTAGGAGGTCTCACACATGCAAGTCACCTGGGACACATTGCCGGGATTCGCCGAAACTGTTGAATAGGCTTTCTTTGCAGCAAAAGTTTTGCAACTGTTGCGGGTCGCAGGCGGAAGGTATATGCTTTGGAGCCAAGTTCTTGATTCCGAAATTGAAGCACTGTTTTCTTAATTAGCGCAGTCAATCTTGGACAGACAATCAACGCAGGATGCCACACAATAGCGAGGTTTATGAGGAGACGGCATGACATACGGGCTTCCTCAAAGCCGGGGTGCTCTTGGGAGCTGTAGGCATATGTGAGGCTTACCAGCAATATGGAGAACCTTAGGGATCATGTAGGGGTTGTTTTTTCCCCAGTCTGACATTTCTTTGCTACGCCTTTTTTTTGGAAGGGCATGGCCTGCGGCATTTTGCGCATAGCGCTGGTGGTAGTCTGGTGTCTGGGACCGAGCTCGGCCTCAGAAAGACTTCCTTCCGACCCCTGAGTACAAAACAACCAATTTGACTATAAGGATCCCCCCGGCAATCCACCCCCCTTTGAATGAAACCACTCATCCCTTGAAGTTAACATTCTCTTGCTACAGAATGGTAATAGATTTAGGATCTGAGGTGTGTGTGGTTTATGGTTCAGGCGTCAGCGCATGTAGATAGTTCAATGCTTGGGAGCTTGGCAACTGCATGGTGGCTCAGAAATCTTGTGCAGGGAGTTGTACGATTGCGCAGGGACTTGTACGAGATTTTGCGGGAGGTTGTTGGGTTAGACGGGTGTTTCCGTCGAGCCATTACAGTAACCAGGTGGATGAAACAGGGCCTACGAGGCAAAGATCCCATACCCTCAAATAAGCAAGCGTGTTATTTCAAGACTAAATGTATGGTCACAAATATAGGCTTAAATACAGGTTGTACTGCAGCAATCCACATCCATAGCCCTTGAACCCTGAATGCTGTGCGCCCAAAGCAGGTGCAAAACAGAGCTGACTTAGAATAGGGTGTGGAGGTGAAGAAGGTATGAATACTACAACGACTCTCAAGTGACAGTTACCCTCAGGGCGCCAAGCCAACCGGCTTGTCAAATCCATTGTCGTGGGCTACTGAATCCTAAGATATCCTAAGTGCATGGTATGGCAGCTCGGGTTGCGGCCCATCAGTGCCGCCTCACCCGCCGGCGTGTCAAACCGCCTGTGTTGTTTAAAACAACATGAACTCCTGATTTTGTCCATGAGAACCGTGCTACTGCAATTGCATCAGCCATGGCTACTTGCCTACGTGTAGGACCTGGCACATTTGGTGGCCTTGCCTGTGGTGCTCAGTCGCGTGTCCGGCGGCAGGGAAATCCTGGGGCCAGAGAACGCTTAGGACATCCTCATGCTCAGGCCCGCAGCTGACGTATTTCGCTTGCGAGCTTTAGAGCTTTTGACCATACATGCTTCATGCTGTCATCTGATGGCCAAGCGCTAGGATAACTCGCGGGCCTGATGAGACTCACTCTGCAAGGCTGTACTTTTGATCCCAACAAATCTCTTTTTCATCCCTATGCCATGTTTTGCGAAGTTCCACTCTACACCTTAACTGTCCTTACACAATCCCGGCATCATCCACAAGAGTGAGCCACCTTGGGCATGGATGGCCCAGGCTCGTTGAGGCTTGCAGAACATTGAGGAAGCTTGTTTTTGGGGTGCTTTAATGTGCGTTGGTTTCCAAGACTTCCTTCTGGGCATAGGCCCTGAGGTTCCTGCACGACCCCTTTTTTCAGCCCAGACTTTGTTCGAGTAAGCATCCTCCTTCCCATCCCCGGAGTTTCGCTTGAGTGGCCGGCCTGCCAAAGCTGCCTTTCCGAGACGTGGCGTCTCTGGCCGCAGGGTGTATCGCCTCAAGGATGTGCCCCAACAAACAAGAACGATGGTGACCATAGGGGTGATATCGGGTGAGGATAGCAGCAGCAGCAGCAGCAGCAGCAGCAGCAGCAGCAGCAGCAGTTGCAGTATGTTGCAGTGGCAATAGCGGTAGTAGAAGCGGAAGAAGTGGTAGCAGCGTAGTACTGGCGCACCCCAATTGGATTGTCGCTGTGCTGCATATGATTGGCACAAACACGTCAAGCAAGACGCATATGCACTAAGGGTCTGGTGCACAACAGCTCGTGGGCGCTCAGGTAAGCTGGGCACAGAAGTAGCGGCACATCTCCCGAGATTCGCGAGAAGCCTCGAAGCGTCTGGCCCAAGAATCTACAGGAGCCCTGCGCATAGAAAAATCTGACCTCAACATGGCTACCACTTGATTGCCTGGCTGCTGCAATGCTCCTCAAGCCTACTGGTCAAAATTGGGGCTAGAGGACGACTGCCGCAAGTTTGCAGCCAAGGCCTTTGGTACTGGCAGCGGGCTGGAGCGCCGGCGAGTCACAGCAGTTGGAAGGTCGAACCTGTGCTCCTGACACGGGAAGCACTTACAAGATGTTAAAAGTGTTGTGGAAATTGGCTTGCTGCTGCACCATACACCTCCAATGCTGGGGCTCTACA